GACATTATAATAGTTGAACGGAAAAGTTACAATACAATAACATGATCTGATGGCCTGAACAATCATAGAGCGTCCAAAAGTGATCACCACTAATTACAGTTCGCAGCCAAGGCCAATAGTGTTAAAGTACTGAAAGATTCACTAAGCATCGACTTTTTGATGTTCTCTGGTTGTAGCATGAGTTTCGAACGCCCATCAAGAGACAGCATTGGGTAAGAAGGTACAATTCACTTTGTACCAGCAGTTCTCGTAACTATGTAGTAAATATCGATTCACAATCGCACTAAAAATTATAGTATAAACAAGCCGGTGCCCGCAACTTCATTTGCGTAGAATAAGTACTTCGAGTACTCTTCCTCTATTTTACCTTGAGGGGTAATTAATTGGTTGAAATCGCTGAAACATTGTTTATTTCTTACAAAAGGCATAAATATGAAACTTGGAAAATGATTGGTTCTGCGTACAAACTTTCATGCTCTGTTTGGGGTGAAAGATTATTTTTGTAACAAAAGGTAGCCTATATCCTTCTTCTAGGTCTCATCTATCTCTATACCAAAAATCATCAAATTTAGTGTAGCGATTTAGAGTGGTTACATATGGTGACTTTTAGCAACGATGCAAACGCGCGTTCATGAAACGCGCATTGCATCGCTACACTTGCGATTTATAAGCGATTGCATCGATGCAATTGCCTTTATATCCCAAGTGTAGCGATGCAATCGCGCGTTTGTATCGATGCAGTCGCGCGCTTGCATCGCTGTTTAAAATCGCGCGTGTGTCTCAAGGTACACGATAAGCGACTGCATCGTGTTTGGATTGCGTTTGCATCAGTTCGCATCAGCATTATGGAAAATTTTGAAACAAACGACTTATTATCCGACAGATAATTTTCTTATAGGAAAGGTAAGTCCACCACAGCTGCCGCGCAAAATGTAGTGGATTCTATCATTACCAGCATTGATGATTGGTATAAAGCAACAGGGATTTTTTATGACCTCACAAAGGCGTTCGATGTAATTGGGAATGAATACTAACACAAAAATTAGCTATGTATGATATCACTGGAGTTGCCCACGATTTATTAAAATCTTTCTTAACAAACTGAAGGCAAACAGTTCAAGTCTGTACGGACGGCAAAAAAATCAACTCGGCTGCTGGTGATATCGCCATCGGCATCCCTCTGGGTAATACGTTGTTCCTGACGTTCATCAACGATCTTGCGCACTATATGTCGGAGAGCTTGGTGGTTCTGTTTGCAGATGACACTACTGTTATAGTGTGTGCTAAAGGCTTCACAGAATTGGACGAAAAAGTAACATACACGTACAGTCAGCTTTGTGAATGGTTTTCTGCAAATGAGCTTATTCTAAACACGTCTAAGTCGAACCTAGTGTTGTTCTCACGAAGAAGTCCCGTATCATGTCCAATAGTCACCTCTGCGGTTCCACTTTGCAACACATGGGCTTCATTCTTGGGCTTCACTATAGACTCAAACTTAAGCTGGAAAGCCCATGTTCAGTCTTTGTGCGAGAAACTTGGGGGTGCTACGTACGCACTGCGGAAACTGCGTCCCCTTGTGTCCACTGTGGTGTTGAGGCAAACGTAATTTACATACTTCCACTCATTGATGTCCTATAGTATTACAATGTGCGGCAATTCAACTGAGTCCAAAAGGGTATTCGTTCTCCAGAAACGCGCACTGCGAACCATAGTAGGCATAAAAGATAATCAGTCCTGTAGAAGCCTTTTTCGAAAGCACCACGCGATGACAACGTATTCACAGTACATTCACGATGTAATTGTTTTTGTGCGTGAAAACATACATATTTACGAGCGATGCACAGGCGGAGGCCGACTGTTACGTAATATAGGAATACTGAAACCCGTTGCTCATCGAACCGAACTCGCAACAAGAAATCCGCGAGTAATCGGGCCCCGATTTTACGAACACCTACCCATAAATCTAAAAAGTGTTACAAATGACGAAGTGTTTTGTTCCCGTCTGAAAGACCTTTTATTGGATAATGAATTCTATAATGTAGAGGAATTTCTTTTAAAGAAATTGTAATTATATTTTTAATTTTGGACGTTTGTATTTTGAAAATATTAAAATTTTTATTTGTATATTTGTAGTTCGCATTTTTCTTTGTTTCTCTTTTAATTATTTTATTTTATATTAACTTATAATTATTATTTACCTTAATGACGATCATGTCATCCCTTGACATTATATTTCGAATTGTGATATTATGAAATTGATAATATGAAATAAATGATTCTATTTTACTCTATTCATCGCTGCTTCAAGACGCCATGTGTAATTGCTCTTAGGTGTGAAAACGTAACAGACAGACAGTTACTTTCCTATTTATACTATTCGTTTGAATTAATCTCAGTGTGAGCACCTACCAATTAATTATTTTTATGTAACAGAACTACGAAATTTGAAGAATGTATTAGCGGTCATACCAGATGTTGGCACCGCCAGCCACCGACCGTTATCAGGTTATCAACACGGCAGTACGGTGACACACTGACCGTGGTAAGGCCACGCAACGCGCAACTCAAATCAAAATAGTTTTATTCGTCGAAGAAAAGATTTCAAAACAATCGTTAGTGTGTGGCACTGACTTTCAAATTTGAAAAAATACTATATCTTGGATCTGCAACTAATTTATGTAACTCTGTACGTATGTCAAAATAATTAAATGAAAAGGCCCGCGGATTTTGTGAAAACTTCTGAGGTCAAAACAATATTAATCCAAAAATTAAATTTTGTTATTATTATTTTATCCAAATTGGTTTTTTAAGTCTTCTCAGGCTCGGAAATAACAATAACGAGCGGTATAATAAGCACTTATGTGTAATATATCCAGTGTTATTTATGTAACAGCTCCTGGAGCTCCTTATGTTTTTATTACAATTCGAGAAACAAGATGTTCTGTTTTTGGGATTGTGTATTTTATTAATGTCATATTTATGGTGTTTATTTTGGCTTTAGTACAAACACTTAAATCATACACTACATTACGGCGTCAGGTGAGGTTTCTTTTAACTCAAAAATATAACATTAAATTAAAAAATAAGCAATTAAAGACCGAATTGCGTATTATATAGGTACAAAGTCGTAGAAAACCCAAACAACAACGTCTGAGGCCTATGTAACGTGAGCTGTAGCCATATGCTGGCGGTGCCAGCCACCGCCTGCGATAGCGCCGCACCCTGCGCCCGCGCCCCGTCGCCAGCGAGACGCGCTACGCTATTGGAAAAATATGCACCGAAACACGTGTGTCGTTACCCAGCTTCAATGAGCTTCGTATTGGGTCTATTTATTACCTTTTAAGTATGTACGTATTACTGAAATACCGTACAACATGCCTGCGAGACACGTGGCATTACACTGAGGAGAGGATAGGTCAAATTTACAGTTTATTTTAATTTTAATTTATTTTTTAAATTTATTTATAAGGTCTAGAAACTGGCATGGTAATTTAAAAATTGTAAAAGATTCATACAAATATTCCTGATTACGTAAGGAGTCATCTGGAACCAATCAAAAAGTGCCACTTATGTAAGCCCACATCAGAAACCTAATCATTGGGTCACAAGTCTCACGCAGAGAACATTTTTGTGAAGGACGTTATTTAAGAGTAATTGGAAAAAGTCGCAAGAACTTCAACTTGATCTAGTAAACTTGAAATTTCCTTATCGCACCATTTGCTATGAACAAATAATTTGATTAAACGAGGTCAAACCTGCAACCTTATCGGTCATTGAAGTGACTCAGTATTTCTTTGTATGTTGGGGCTTCCTAATTACAGCTGGGTTTGTTTTTTTTTTTGATTTTCACAACACCGACTGTCGCAATGTTGTAACTTGTAAATAATAAATGTTATTTATTTGTGTCCCACGCCATCTCAGCGGATATAAAAATACGCAGTTTTAAATTGCCGTCATTGAGTCATACTACCCTTTGCAATTTGTTCACTTCCGAAGAACTGTTATCTCTCAATTCGGAATGGGTAAATTGTAAACAGCTATCTAATGGAAGAATAGAAGGACAAAAATGTAAAATTTACGGAATTAAAAAATCTTAAATCGGTTTCATATTACGCTGCTATTATTCAAAGTCCGTATAATGAGTATAGAAAGTACATTTACGATTACGTTTTTAAAATAGTGTATTATGTGATCATTAAGATCGACTGTGTCCTCTAGAGAAAGGGTAAGTTGGTCGAACATCCACTATATCTTCACATTTTACCGATGCCGACTAATAATGTAACAATTGCCGTTTAAAGTCAGCTGATGCCCAATATCTTCGTCACTGTCATGAGGCATTTAACAATGATCACGGTTGTTTAACTTCTTTAATCTTCAAGATAGAACTATTGTTTTACATTCATCTACCTTTCTAGGTAAAAGAACTATTGGCTAGGTCGGTCAAATGATAAGCGGGAATAATGTGAACGATCTATTCATTATTACGTTCTATAAACAACTTGTTAATTAATATTTCTCATGTGTATTATCTTTAACTGCAATGCATTAAAATGTCTGTGAAAACAAAATTAAAACACGTAATGATAGTGATTTACAGAAAATGAGAAATCTTGAAATTACTATAATTATATTAAAAGTTATCCATTGCTTGGAATACTATCACAAAATGAAGACTCCACTAACTTCGATGCGTCTTCCAAATTATTTATGTTACAAAATTTTATCTGTTATGTTAACGGAGAGTAAGTAGGTACTTACTAAGATTATCATGGGAGGTGCGCGATCGCATATATTTCGATCTCATATATTCATAGTAGGTAACTGCTCAGTGACTAGTGATCCGTCAAGTTTAGTAAGAGATGTATGTGTATCAAGTACGCTTTGAGCGCTGGTGGTCGGTGGTGACATGTGGTGCGGATCCGATAATCGCCGATCGGCCTTATCAGCGTCGGTCGCGGTGTCCGGCGCAGGCCAGGACGGGCGCTCCACGCCACTACATTCCCGGGGCGCGCCGCAAGCGCTAGTCTGCTGCTCATCCTGATAAACATCCTCTCTGCCATTATCGCGTGTCTCTATCACAATACACAAACAAAGCTGTCACAAACAGCGACTTGTGAGTTATTTATTGCCTTTTTCCATTCATGTTTTTATTGACTTCGCTGTAATAACGCACTCCTTCGCTTGCAGAGCTACAATGTACCGCGAGGGTAATGGACCTATTCTGGAGGACGTTCTCCTCAGCGACCAGTTCCTCTACGAGTACTCTCCGGCCGAGAGCATCATCAATTTCGAGCTCCCTTCGGCCTTCACTTCGGAACACAGTGATTGGTGGAGTGATTTAGACCTGAACTGTGAACCTTTTGTGAACGGTGCTGGTGTCAGTGACAACAAAGAAGAATTTAATTTCCCTGGTAATTGTATCACATTCGATCTCGGCTCTTTCGATAAGGACATAGACGAGTTCCTTTTAGAAGCTCTCAGTAGTGATAAGTCTTATGATGCTCCTCAGTCCGGAACAGACTCATCGGACAGCGGGGAAGATGTTCTGGGGAGTTTCTCCTCTTTCGGGACTGAATACGATTCAACATACGCGCAGGACGCGCTTTATTCAACACAATTTCAAGCTGTAGCCAACACAGGAAATAGTATAAGTAAAGAGACGAATAAGACTGAAGTGAAAAAATCGTTCGGGGAGCCGGCGTACTGTCCCGAGCTTGGAGCTTTCCGGTGTCCTGTTGAAGAGTGCGGCAAATTGTACGCGAAGGCATCACACGTGCGAGCGCATTTGCGGCGGCACAGTGGAGAAAAGCCGTACCACTGCACGTGGGGTGGCTGCGCGTGGCGATTCGCGCGGTCGGACGAGCTGGCGCGGCACCGCCGCAGCCATTCGGGTGACAAACCTTACGGGTGCCGCGAGTGTGGCAAGCGTTTCGCGCGTTCTGACCACCTCGCCAAGCACGGGCGTGTGCACGCGCGCCGTGCTGCTGCAGCAGCCGCCGCTGCCGCCAAGAGATCTCTCCCACACGGACATCGAACGAAACGATTCGTTTAACTACTTTCAATCATTTTGTTACATAATATCAAGCTTAAAGCTTTTGTGCCATAATTGACTGTGCAAAGAAAAGCGTTTACACTTTCCCTTTGAAAATTAACATAAACGGTACGCACACATGTCGCACCCCTCAAGAAAGGCACAATTTTTTTATTACTTTTCAAGCGGTCAACAATCGGTGTTAATCGAACACGAAAACATAACTATTTTATGAAAAGTAGTAATTCTATGCGTAACCAGAAACATCCTTTTACATACCTAATTTACAACTTTTCAATCATACTTCTCTCCATGCTATATCAAATCACAATAAACCGTGTTACGCCTCTTTCCACGAATACAAATTAATTTGAGGTTTAATTTAAGAACTCCCTTCATTGTGCAAAATGTTAGGATTTTATCTTTTTATGAATTTGTTTTTACAAATAAATACGCATGTTTTCCACGAGCATTTGACCAAAAGATTTACGGAGCTATTTCCCTTACACCTCTTTTGGTGTAAAAAATAATTAAATGTAAGGAGATATATCTTTTGCTGCGGTTTTATTCCATAACGTATTTGGTTATGCTTTTATTTGTGAAAAAATTGTGAAAGTAAAGTTACGTAGTGACCAGCGCAGCAGCAGTGGTCGGATATGCGGATATTTATTTACCAATAAGTTACCAGTTTCTTCGCTAGCATGAAATACGCTGGTTGTATCGAAACAATCCCCCGACAAGAGGATCAAATATAAAATTGTTGGAAATGAAACGTTTAAAATGTTATTTGTAACTTTTTGTAAAAAATGAAAAAAAGGTAAAAATTCGAGTATCAAGAAAATAATTTTGTAGTTCTAATAATTTTTAACCGAAACCAACGTACCATTGTTTGAGTTCAAATTTGATACTTTTAAATGTTGATACATCTAAAAATAGTATTTGTTGCATCTCAGTATTAAGATCCAGTTCTCATATTCGTGGACATCATCAAACCTTTAAGTTTTGTGTGTGCCAAATGTTAGCGAAAGTGAAGGACTGAGATTAAATTTGATACTTTTAGCTATTTATAGTACTGAGATCCAGTTGGGACATTCCTGGTCATCGACAAACCTTGAAGATTTAAAGCGTACCTAAATATTGTAATGAAACCGAACGTTTGAGTCTAAATTGAATGTTTTTAGCCGTTTAAATCATTGAGATCTGATCGTTTAATTCCTGGTCATAAAACCATTAGTATTAGTATTTTTTGGTAGTGTTCTTCATAGAGATCCCAACCTTTACTACCCTGATCTCCATCAGATCCTCAGCGAGACTTAGCTATAAACCATTTCGCCAAAGTTACGAGTACAAAGGAAAAAATATCACATTGAAATAAGTCTAGAATACAGAGCTATAGACTTATTAAAAAAAAAACAAATATCGCGCCAAATATACAAGATTTTTTTGTATTAGAGGGTAACAGAAGTTATTAGAAGATCGTATTTAACATATAAAAGGGTAATTTTCAGGGTAGTTATCTCTACCCAATTTCGGTGGCAATTTTTGATATATAATATTTCAGGTTACTAAGCTCTAATATTTAATTATTCATCATGATAATATTCTACAAAATTCAAATATTGTAACATGGTCATGACATTCCGCGAATCCGAGATTTAAAAGAAGAAAAACTATATTTTAAGAAGCCGCTTTATACTTTGACAGCTCTCAATGGAAAGTGTATCTACTTTATGTATAAAACTCGTTTATTGTTTTCCATCCTCTAAGATAAAAGTATTCGAAAATCCGACCACTAAATAATGACATTTGCATACAATTTTGCATGTTTCTTGGCATAAAATTTAAACAAAGAATTATACTTAACATGGACCGAGAAAAAACTTACATACGTTTCTCACATGTGACGCTATGGCAAAAAAGTCGTTAAAAACCAAATACATAGAGCTGCAACAAGCACGGAAGTAGAGAAATTCGTAAGGTCTGTAGGGCTATCACGATAAGGCGCGACTTGAGCGAGAATGTCATAAAGCGTGAGATACTGCTATTCTCGCATACAAATCACGCGCTCCATATCGCTCTCGCGCAAGTCGCGCCCTGTTGTGCTGGCCCTACTGTTGACTCGTATCAGTTCGGAGAGCGGTAGCCCTGGTAGCCCTGTAGCCCTGGCGAGGTAGCTAATTCGAGTCCAGCCGGACCGAAGGAATTTTTTTATTTTCAATCTTTGTATTAACAATAACAAAGAATAGGTGTGCTAAAAACTATCATATATATATATATATATATATATATATATATGTATGTGTGTGTGCAAATACGTGGTAATGGTAATGGAAATGGTTTTCTGGCTAATTCAGTCAATATTGTATCGATATTGCAGATAAAGTTCTACGAATCTGAGGTGACGTGTGTTATTTCGTTATCTATCCAATGGAGTAAAAAGAAAATTTAACATAATTCGATTTATGTCATTCTTCTATTGGAGATGCGGATATTGGTAGTATCGTAAAGGGACAGTTTCGAAAGACGGGCGAGAATAAAGAGACAGCACAGCGAACCCAAGCGAAATCCTGCTGGCAATAAAATTCGTTGTATTATCAATACTTTTATCCAGGCACGAAAACAGCGTTATCTAGCACATTATATTGTAAATTCTACCTAATCTGCATGCAATTTGTGTTAAATTTTTCACCGCGATGAGTTTGTCTGTATCGGTTACCGCTTTTGGTCCCAGCTTTAATTATTTAAGCTGTAAAAAATACTTGATAAAAGTATTTCATGCTAAATTATGCTATTTATTATTTCTTTATTTTCATGACGCGCGGGCGCGATATTTAGAATACGTTTAAGATTTAGTGTACTTATTTTTAATACTATTACTAGTTATTAAAAATAAGTACATACTTAGTTTATACTATATAAACATAGTAGTTTATACTAATTACTAGTTATAACGCTTACTTAAATTCTTAGGGTAAGTAGTGAGTAACTGACATTTAGGTAAGATAAAATAAATATATATTGAAAACGTAAAGTTATCTGTCTTTTTTAAATATGCAATATCTGGCTTAAAAAGCAATTTTCCGGTTCCATAACAAATGCTTTTCTTTCCATTGAAAGTTGTAAAAAAATAATTTGAAAGAGCAATTTAAAGTCTTTCAATCAATTAAATTATATTTTTGAACAAGTCTATAAAACTGATCACTTTGGTGTTGCCTGTACCTATCAAACATTTGGTTAGGTATCCTACACTCATTACTTAGCCCAGTGTAACGGCGCCACTGACAAAATGGTAATGCTTACATGAACTAATTTGATTTCTCTACTAATCCGTAAAATTTAGCTTGATTGGAATGACGCATGTTAATGATGTGATGCGATCAGTGAAAACAAGAATCGATGTTAAAATATATCGCCTGTTATGGTAATAACTGAAATCAACTCTAATAATTAATTAATACGTCCACCTCACAAATAATGGCCAAAAGCCGTGGCGTCGCTATTAATAAATTTTCAATTTAATTTCCGTAGATGTAACCGAGCGTCTGAATAATAGCATATTGGTTAAAAAGTTACCAACCATATACATTTTAGATCATACGTTACATTTAAAAATTACCACCATAAAAATTTCTCCATTAGATTAGTTGAGCGACTCTATGTTTTCGATGTGTCCCAAAAGGTCCATGGGACTACTAAACATGGTAATAATGGCTGTTTGTGCGTTGTCAGTAATGAAGTATACCTACTGTTATGTGTGAGTGAAGAAATAGATTTCTCACAGATGGTCCTACGGCAAAAAAATAAAAAACCGAAACAAAGATCTGCAACATGCACGTAGGAAAATTCATAAGGTTCGCTGGTTCCGTTCCGTGGCTTAGTTGGCATAGCTTACGGCAGGGTTTGCTGCAAAACGTTGGTTCGAATACAGCCGTATCGAATGATTTTTTTCTAAGTGTTCGATCTTTGTATTAATAATTATAAAAAAAATGGATTTATAAATTTAACTTTTGCACACAAAAATGTAAAATTTCAAGTAACGAAATGTAATTCTCGACTGCCCTGGCAACACTACGGAAAAGTCTCGTTTTTATTTTGACTTTCAATTATTTTGTGAAATCTAGTTTAATGTGGAATAAGATAGTGCTATTGTGCCTTAATCGAAGATTAAAACACGAAATTATACGAATCTCGAACTAAAATACCCGTATCGGCCCGTTCTAAGGAATCCCGAGTCAGTCCAAGCACGCCGCCTCAAATTGCCTATTCTCTTTGTGGCGGCCATATTTACAGAAAAACTTATTTTTATGTTTTCGGCTGAAGGACTTTGTTTCCATGGCCAGAAATAAAAAAAAAATTATTGTAGGGATTCGCTCTGGGCCATATGGAGGGAAAAGTGTCGTTTTTATTGTGACTTTCAATTATTTTGTGAAATCTAGTTTAAAGTGGAATAGGATATTGCTATTGTGCCTTAATCGAAGATTAAAACGCGAAATTATACGAATCTCGAACTAAAATACCCGTATCGGCCCGTTCTAAGGAATCCCGAGTCAGTCCAAACACGCCGCCTCAAATTGCCTATCCTCTTTATGGCGGCCATATTTACAGAAACGTAATTAAACTTCATGTTTAGGCTGATGGCTTTGCCAAAGCCTTAACAAATTTGAAAAAAAATATTGTGGGACCTCCCAACACAAAATTTCTTCCGTCTAACGTAATTTCATTGCGATAAACATTGACTTACAATTATAAGTCAATGGCGATAAATTGTGAAAATAATCATGAATAAATGAGTAAATTTGCTCCAACAGTGATTTACAAACGATTTGTGCATTTCAGTTGAGTACCGTAATGGTTGGTAATTACGTAAATATGTAAAATAATACTTTTGTGATGTTTTATAAATATATAATTTGTAAGACGCCCGCCGCCACAAATTTACTTCGTCTTGCCGACCTGTCAGAATGATAATTTAGAACTAATCAAGCTAAATTTTATAGGCCATATTTACAGAAAAACTTATTTTTATGTTTTCGGCTGAAGGACTTTGTTTCCATGGCCAGAAATAAATTAAAAAAAAGTGATTGTAGGGATTCGCTCTGGGCCTTTTGGAGGGAAAAGTGTCGTTTTTATTGTGACTTTCAATTATTTTGTGAAATCTAGTTTAAAGTGGAATAGGATATTGCTATTGTGCCTTAATCGAAGATTAAAACGCGAAATTATACGAATCTCAAACTAAAATACGCGTATCGGCCCGTTTTACGGAATCCCGAGTCAATCCAAGCACGCCGCCTCAAATTGCCTATCCTCTTTGTGGTAGCCATATTTACAGAAATATAATTAAACGTTTATGTTTTCGGCTGAAGCACTTTGTTTCCATGGCCAGCAATAAATTAAAAAACAAAGTGATTGTGGGACCATTCGCTCTGGACCTTTTGGAGGGAAAAGTGTCGTTTTTATTTTGATTTTCAATTATTTTGTAAAATCTAGTTTAAAGTGGAATAGGATAGTGCTATTGTGCCTTAATCGAAGATTAAAACGCGAAATTATATGAATCTCGAACTAAAATACCCGTATCGGCCCGTTTTACGGAATCCCGAGTCAATCCAAGCACGCCGCCTCAAATTGCCTATCCTCTTTGTGGCGGCCATATTTACAGAAACGTAATTAAACTTCATGTTTAGGCTGATGGCTTTGCCAAAGCCTTAATAAATTTGAAAAAAAATATTGTGGGACCTCCCAACACAAAATTTCTTCCGTCTAACGTAATTTCATTGCGATAAACATTGACTTACAATTATAAGTCAATGGCGATAAATTGTGAAAATAATCATGAATAAATGAGTAAATTAGCTCCAACAGTGATTTACAAACGATTTGTGCATTTCAGTTGAGTACCGTAATGGTTGGTAATTACGTAAATATGTAAAATAATACTTTTGTGATGTTTTATAAATATATAATTTGTAAGACGCCGCCACAAATTTACTTCGTCTTGCCGACCTGTCAGAATGACAATTTAGAACTAATCAAGCTAAATTTTATAGAGTATAATTAAACTATGAAAAGATCTCTTCCTTCATAAGGTGTCGATGCTTCTAAATTTTAGGACTACATATATTGACAATAAAAGAGCATCTCAGGAAACGTATTGAAGCATTTGAAATGGCCTACAAAAGAATATTGCACTTATAATGGACTCAGAAAGTCAGCAATGACGAAGTTCTGCGACTAGTTTGACAGAAGTGTAAACTTTTGCCAACCATCAAACAGCGAAAATTGCATATCTGGGTTATGTACTTAGACATGACAGATACAAGCTTCTGCAACTGATAATGATGGGAAAATTCGCTGGTAAAAGGAACGATCTCCATGGAAAGGTGTAGGCCAGACTTCACACTTTTCCAAGGGTTGCGAACCTGCTCCCAACATGCAGGTTTCGTCACGTTATTTTCCTTGACTGTTAGCGAGAGGTGTTGCTACTAAACATTGACAAATACGTAACATAGAAATTATAGTCATAATATACATACTACCATCACAGAGACTCAAATTGTCAACCTCTCGATTGAGGAACAATCGTTCTCCCTCTAGACTACCACCGCAGTAATTAATAAGGAAGTACAAAACTTTATAAAACTTTAAAAATTTTGAAAATGCCGCCAACTAGTTATCAAAGTGGCAACGTAGCGTTCAAGATAAATCATTAATGGACACATTTCGTAACGTTCACATAAGCTGTCAAGGCAACCCTAAATCGTCAGTCGTCACATTTAGCGAATGTTTTGATTTGATTTTGACCGTGTATGCCAATGTACGCCTTGTAATCAATATGTTCGCAATGAATGTTTATGTTACACGATATACCATCCGACAACGTCAAAACATCGGACGTCATGTCGATTAACATCGGAGCTCAATATCGGGCTGACGATATGGTCGTCAATTAATGGGCTATTTAATGTTTCAGAAACACCAATTTATACTGTCAAACTAAAGCACCGCATTTATAAGGCGAATATATTAGCTGTGTTGGTAAAGCTAACCAATATGATTATAAGAATGCATAAGTTACCCGATATGTCAACAAACATACCGACATTTTACGTCAAAAATGTCGGATACATATCGATCAACACAAGCATTTATGGTGTACATGTTGGTCAACGCAGCTAACATGTTCGCTAATGAAAATAGGTCTCGAATATTAAATGTTAGAGATTCATCAATTTACACTGTATTGCAACAATAATTATTTGTCTACGGAACTTTTCTTTCCACTGAAGGTAGAACTTTGTAGTCTATGATATTATACTACCAATTACAAAAGCCTCCTGGTGCCTCTATTAAACATATAATTGATAAGCTTTTCAATTAGGTACTATAAATAACTAGATACACGACTCAACTCGCACACAAATAAAAATGGTGGTTCAATAGATATTTCTTCGAAGAAATTGATACAAATTGAAATAAGTTGCAGTAATTACTGGATTATAAAAAAACCGGAAGGGTTTTCTTCAGTTTTGTGACCATAAAACAACAGTTGGTGCGGTTACGCGGTGCGCTAGCGAGAGTTGTGTTTGACAAATAACAGGTTGTTCGAAGACACCGATTTCGCTACGTTTTGTTTAATTTATGTGTTATTTTTCTGTTTAATCCGTCTATTTAGTAGTTACTTTAGTGTACTTACTTAAGTGGATGTTAGATGAAATCTCGGTAAGGAACCAACAGCAGAAGGCTGACAAAACAACCGACATAAAGCAGGCTTGGTGGCTTCTATTGAATCAGCATGTGACCCAAATCGGAAATTTCTCTTCTTTATAAATAACTGGAAAGACTCTCTAATGTCTTAAATGCATCGCCAAAAGTGAAGAAACTTCCTGAGATTGGTGAATGGAGGAATATCCTGGCAGATGTTGACATTTTGTCATGGTTCAATTCAACCTGTATCTCCTGAATGATCAGGTGCCTAAAGCTCTCGCTGCACATTCAGCAAGTGAATAAATAGTACTACGATACTTTGTATCTGTTATAAAAGTAATAAAGTGCAGGAATGTTATGTTAGAATGTGAAAAATGTCCACCCAAAGGTTTTTCTATACATCTGATAGTTGTCAACTGCAGATTTGGAGCTAAAGATGACTGTGGAAGAGCAGAGTCCGTGTTACAGATGGAAGTAGGACAATGAAGCACAATGGCTCATGCTGAGAATCATAGATATATTGTGCAGGTGAGTTATCTCTAAAAACAATATGTATGGCTACCAGTCCTAAAAAAATCCATGCATTCCAAAATGTGTGAACTGTGTATATATTGACAAATGAGACTTGGCATATCTGTGTGTTGTTACAATATAAGTTATCTAGTTTCTAAACTGTTTGGTATTATTTAGTGAATAACCACAAAAATTTTAAACACCATTATTTCAAGGTATACATACATAAAAATTTACTTTCCTTGAAAGTTTAACTAATGCTTAATGTATAAGGGTTCATTTATTAATTAATACAAAATTTAAGATTTTTCTATAACATTTTTATATATAACATTTTAAATATTAGTACACAGCTTCCGCATACTCTGATAACAAAAATCCATGGTATTCAGGGTGCCTTGATCTATAATATTAGAAATAAATATTTTAAATGATAAATTGTTACAAAATGTTTATTTACAAAGAGCAACCCCCAGAATACTCATTGTCATTCTTCTTATGGCAGTCTGCGTTACTAAATAATACTAGACTTTATTCAATGTGGTGATTTTACTTACTTTTTATATAAAGATATATTTAAATTCAACATTTAATTAAAGAACCTTGTACCATAAAGGTGCATGTATAAAGCCATTCAATAGGATTAGTTTAAACTTATAAAAAACATAGTCTGTAGCTTCTCGATGAGAAGCTCAGCCATGAAACTATCTATTATTTAATGGGTAATTTTATAGATATGAACTTTCTAATATTGAAGTTGTAGTAAAGTTTTTCATGTTGTATCTGGCATTACAAACACATCACATTACAAATAGTTACCTATATAATTGTAATGTGATATAATTTAAAACAATTATCAAAAACTATAAAACATAATACCACATTAATTTAATCTTACCATTGACTTATGTAACATACTAATTGATATGAAGGCCAAGTTCCTTACTTTGATAATAGTTTCTTTATGTGTTTTCTATTTTGTTCATGATAGAGTTACATTAACATTTCCATTGTCAGAATTATACAACAGGGCCCTTTAAGGTCTGACATATTTTTGGCAGTGATTCTACTCTTGGTTTGAGTAGATATAAACATAATTATGTATGGACTTGCTGGTTTTTTTGTAATTTTAATGGGCCTGAGTTACTTAAAATTGTTTGTATTGTTGGGATGGGTGATTGATGGTTCTAACCATACTCTACAAATCTCTATAGCAGTTAGAATAACTCATTAGCATGTAATTAACAATTGTGGAATATTGTCTTCTCTTGGTATCATCTTGTAAAAATAAAGATCTTTAGAGGTCCTCTCATCTCAATAATCACTAAGGTCACGTTCCCACTATGTCGTCGGATGATTGTCGTGCCTAGCCTGTTCCCATATCACGACTATCTGTCGTGGACGATTTTTTATCGTTGAACGACTGTCGTGACTAGCTGTTCCTGTTAGATCGTGACGACAATTTATCGTTTCACGACAGCCTCCTTGCCCATCTCTGGCTACGACCTAACGCTACTGCAAAGCGAGCAGAGGGCGCGGGGTACGAGAGGGGAGGGCAGGGGGCAGAATACGTGCGGACAGCGATAAATAAAACGTGACGACAATTGGAGCTGCAACAATCTGTCCTGACATTTTTATCGTGACGTTTTTTTATCGTCTTACGACTGTCGTTCTAGCTGTTCCCACTGTGACGACAGTTTGTCGTTGGAACGATAAAAAATCGTGAACGACAGTTAATCGTGTCGTGCTATATGTGAACAACTTCATTTAAATATACAAGCCGCGACACTGTAAACTGCACGACAATCGGTCGTCACGACATAGTTGTAACGCGCCCTAAGTTGGAAAACACCACATTCCTTATAGACAACCACATGACTATTCAGTTTTTATGCAACATTTTCCTTTAATATTATGACAAACATGATTAAATTTTTATTCTGAGTGTATAGTGAAAACACATGAATGTACTTTGTGTAACAGAGGCTATGAATTTAGGGATTGATTTAGTTTCTTTTAGCAATTCACACTGCATCAAGCCTGCTTTAGCAGCCGGATTCTAATGTGTGGAGTTACAGTAAACTGCATTGTATTGTCACACAGAAAGAGTGGGAATTGATGAAGGGAGGTCTTTGTTAAGGTTGTAAATTTTCTGTTAGATTAGTAGAGGACTTAGTCTATCTATTTCATCATCTACTCCCCTATTTCAGAAGTTCAACCAGTGTTGGACCTTGGGTAAAGTAGCTTTTGAATTAGATGGATGATGTTATTGTTACACATTATTTTTGTGCTTAAAACTAACCAAACCTTTTTAAAATTCCATGTTGAGATAAGTAGATACCTTTACCCACCTTTCTAGATCGACACATTAATTAATTAAAAGGAAAACAAGGCAATATGTGTATCTCTGGTAATACACAAGTAAACTAACATGCCAAACATTTCTCATAGTACAAATTATCACATTATAATATTTAATATTAGTCAACATCACATATGTTGCTCCAATCCCAAAGTTATGTTTTTGGTATAATTTTAACAATATATTTAATGTTTACATTTGTTGTATAGGTGTTTGTGGGTGCACTGTCTGCTCAGTATGAGGCTCTCTCAGTTGAGGCCTCCAAACAAACCAGTTCTGAGGAGATTGTGTGCTGCATTGCCGATAAACTCAACTTGAATGATGGATCTGCAGGACCTTATGAACTGGCAGAGGTAAGTTACTGGATACATTACTTTTCTGTACTGTACCACCAATAAACCAGATAAATCCAGGAAACACTCTCTGTGTCATAGATTGCCATGTTACTCTGACTAACAAATTGTTAAGAGACTCTCAGTGATTGCGGCAAATCCTATTTTTCAAGAGAGTTCTTCGTAATTTTAATCATCTCTTTGTTTCTTTTTTGGTAATCTTCAAGATAGATTCTCACTTCATAATATTAGTAACACTATCTAGAAAACCCTTTGAATAGCTTTCATTGCCTTTCTTAGCATGTTTGTGTTTTTCAGAACTTGTATTTCCCACCAGTTGCATTGTGACTACAGTGGCGTCATAATTATTAAAAAGTCGCCCTTTAGTAGTAATTCTTGAAAACAAACTTGAACTGAACCTTTAAAATGTTATTTACCTACTTGTTATAGTATAACTGATACACTTGTAACCTTGACATATTACTCATGGCAGTACTTACATTTGTCATAATTTTTTTCTACACTGAATGATTCACCAGACAATTTCTTGATCTTTGATTTCCTGGCCACCTGTCTGGCCACTGTGCGATGAAGCTGCACAGTCATACAGTAGTTATTGTTTTCTTAGAATTATTTTATGCAACTAGACTTGTTTTTACACAACCAATTATGGGCATTTTAGCAGGATTTTAGGCTTTACTGTTACCTTTATGTTACCTTGGAACTCGTAATGGTAATAAAAAGTGTCATTTTTTTAAAAGGGACAATTACTTTTGTGTTATAGTTTTTAGATTCATTACGGCAACTATACCGATATTTAATTTCTTTTAACGTAAAATGCTGATGAAAATTTTTCGACTGAAAATCCACTACGAAAGGCGCGATTTCAAAGTAATTTTTTACTAATTATCTAATTGTGATCAAGTTTCTGTTAAGAGTAACGGCTTGGCAAAATGATTACTATTTGTAACATGAATTTTAACACAGTGCATTGTAAACAGGTGGTGGGAGACATGGTCAGCGGCGAGTGTAAAGAAAGGCGGTTGGGGCCCAACGAATCACCCGTCGCTGTCATGCTACTCTGGCCGAACAACAACTCTGGCCAGTATTACAGGTAAATCAATCTTCGACACATTATAGTGTTCAAAGTGAAACAAAGTTTTATTTATTATCACTTCTCACGCTATACAAGTGACTCACATTATATATAGACTTTGAATATCACAATCTTACAAGTTGCTGGCTTAATTAGTTTACAGGGCAAAAGTTATTTTTATTATAAAAAAACTCAACTATTCTGTTCATAAGAAAGAATTAGCTTTATCATTTATTAAACCATTTTTAGTACATGATCATAAAGTGCTCTTATCTTTTAGGCGTTATTATTAGGTCGCTGAGTTGTTTCTGATGTTATTACATAGTCAATGCGAAAATTGCATATATATTTAATATTGGATATAAATAGGAATGACAAAGCAAGTAAAACAACTGAGAGATTTATAATAAGTAGTAATAACATATTATGACGAAACTAAATGAAAGAATAGCCCAATTTTGCCGACTGTATTATGTTCAGGCTTAGTTTTAGGCATTAATAAATTTTAACAATGGCCTGTCTTTTGTCGATTTGGTATGACCTTCAAAGGTATTTTAAAGGTATTTTAAAGGTATTTTTCTGTATTTTAAAGTCAGGGTTTACAATTGTTAACTCTTTTGCAGATCATAAAGTGAACATTATATGTGACATATAATATTTATATTTAATTAATTACAAACAATTTATTATTCAATAACGTCGATTTACATTATAAATTACATTACGATACTATTATCGGCATTTTTCCGTTACACCTACGGCGTTCGGCCGCTTCGTATTACAATGCTAAATCCAGTTCTACTGTGTAATTATCTCGGTTACTACGATTACTATGAGTTCTAACCTTGAGTATATACAACCAATCGACTATTATTTGTAACTCTACATATTAACAATCCTGTCACCACAATGCAATTTTGTCGTATCCACGATCTACTAATGTTTATTTCATGAATCACTAATTAATTTACGTCTTAAATTACGTTCTATGGCAATTATTTAACAAGAATATCCTCAAGAGAACAGGAATATGTTGAATATATTATACAATGTACATGTGTAGGAGTTTCACTATGCCATTAGCATTTTCATTATTATGTATCAGTTGCATTTTGCTGTTGCTCGTTAGACATTCATCAACGTTTTAAATTATTCGTGGTAAATAAATATTATGTAACAAGTGGTACGCAAGAGTCGCATCAGTGATTGGGGATAATGTCCCTAATGGTTCGCGTGCGCGTGAGTCACCCTTCCTGCGGCATCGGCCTGATAACACTGAACCATCCTGCGAATGAAACTAAAACATTCCAGCGCGCCAACATGAGGGAGCGCCAAAAGTAAACCGCGTCGCGCAAATATTTATATTCCACCTTATAATGACGCAAAAGTAATCTCCTTGCCACATATTTATTTATAGTGATTTATTTATTTAACCTTTTATAAATCCGCCGAACTTTCCAGGTTCTATTTGCGCGAGAAAATACCAGATGAACCCTGGATGGAGAACTTTTCGGTGGATCCGCAGCTGATAAAGGATTACTTCCAGCGGTTCCTCTATCAACCAAAGGACCGGGAGTATCCAGATCTGTGCCAGCTACCAGAACTCAACGAGCAAACGCTGCTTGATAATCTCCGCGCAAGATTCGGGGCCGGATACATCTACACATATGTCGGCTCTATTTTAATAGCCCTCAATCCGTTCAAGTTCTATCCAATCTACAATCCAAAGTATGTGAAATTGTATCAGAACAAGAGAATAGGCTCAAGTTTGCCTCCGCATATTTTCGCCGTCGCAGACGCCGCTTACCATTGCATGTTGAGGGAAAGAACTAATCAATGCATTGTGATCAGTGGAGAAAGTGGATCTGGGAAGACTGAAAGCACGAATTTTCTTCTTCACCACCTCACAGCGCTGAGTCAGAAAGGATCGCACGGCAGCGGCGTAGAACAAACAATATTGAGCGCTGGGCCTGTTCTGGAAGCCTTTGGGAATGCGAAAACTGCTCACAACAACAATTCAAGTCGATTTGGGAAGTTCATACAAGTGAACTACAAGGAAAATGGCATGGTACACGGTGCGGTTGTACAAAAATACTTACTGGAAAAATCGCGAATTTGTAGTCAGGGCCGTAACGAGAGGAACTATCATGTGTTTTATTATTTGTTGGCCGGTGCTTCGGAGCAGGAAAAGGCTCAGTTGCATTTGTTGACTGTGGACAAATATAATTATTTATCAAGGACTGGGTGTAGTGTAGTGCCAGGTGTGGATGAGCAGTATGAATTCTCAAGACTTAAGCAGTCAATGGAGATGGTGGGATTCACCATGGACAAGCAACGGAGACTGTTTGCTGTTCTGTCTGCTGTGCTACTTTTAGGTAAAATCTTATTAAATTATTATTATTCAAATATATTTCATTGAACCTTGAAGGAAACTGTTTGTTTGGAGAATTATGAAATAGATATTCGTTATTTTGTGTAATGAAAAGTTCTTATCAAAAATTTAATTATCTGTGATAAAAAAATTCAATGTTTTGATAATGGATTTCAGAAATATCAGCTGACAAATTGTAAAAGCATCAAGTAACAAACATGCAGACTTGATAATGAAATACTATTGAGTTTAACCACCCCAATTTCTCGAATTTCGGCGATATCTGTTTTATACATAAAAACATCGGGTCATAAACATGCAAAGTTGATAACAAACTATGCCAACTTCTGGAATTTAGTTTTAAAAATTTATACTTTTAAAATATATGCTATGTAATGTTTAGCATGTTTCAAGAAAAAATATACTTAATATATTTATGAGCAGAGTCTGAAGACAAAAGTTACTTACTTCTACAAACTGTTAATTTTCTCTCGAAACTATGTCGCATTGGGCTATCTCTACACGCGCGAGCATGATCGTTACGAGATATTGTCAAGTGAAGAGAATTGGAAAAACTCCATGGCTTGATCCCACATTTTGATAGTTTTATCAAATTTTTGTAGTAATATCTGCGGCCTTTGATCAGTTGACAGAATGGTTATTGTGGTTATTTTTTCAGTATTTCACCATTGGCGAATTATATACATGCAGCCATCACAATATTATTTGTGTTATATCAAATTTTAATATAAACTTAAGTGTTAGTGGCTTTAGAACGGTTACCATGCCGGACTGCCACGCAGAGGTCCCAGGTTCGATTCCCGGGCCGGGAGAAATATTTGTATGGCCTACATTTATTTCTCTCGTGAGTTTGGGTGTAATTTGTGGTTGTCTATGTGTGTGTCCTTGCCACCCGCGACACAGGGTTTCCCTAGTGCGGGGCTATGTTGATTGTGAGCGTTATTATTATTAATTTCGACTGTGAACTGGCAACCGGTACTATTTCAATTTTGACAACTTTACATAATGAAAAAAATGTTTGCGTCATTTATATTGCATCTGGTTTATTAGATAAAAATGCGTAGTGTATGTGTAATAAAAACATTTAAAAACTACGTATTTTTATTTAATAAATCAGATCGATAAATGACACAAACAATTTTTTCTTTATCATGTAAATTTGTCAAAATAGAGTTGGTACTGTTTGCCAGTTCACAGTTGATTTGCCAAATTCAAGGAAGTTTCTATCTACAGACGATGATACTAAATTGTTATAAGAACATAATTGCTGTGTGATATCCAAATGTGCTTTTGCGTCAATAAACTTATTACATACATACTACACGCCCTTTTCCCATCGGGGTAGGCAGAGACAACTTCCACTTGCTATGAACGTGACACACATTTTTCGTCTAATCGATTATTTAAATTTGTAGTGTCGTTAAAGACAGTTACAAATCATCTTGTCTTTCATTTTCTTTGATTTAATATTTCCCAGGAACCATTATGAAAAAGGGAACGGCGAAAATGAGTTAGCGGATCTAACGCTTTACCCCTTTATACCATTACCAACTTGTTGTAACCATAATGAAATATAATAAGCAATGGTAATGACAATTATTCTATAACTACATAGAGTCTACACTATACAAGATAAAGGTGTATCTACGCGCGCGAGTTATGTCAAGTTTCGTCACATGTTAATTTATTTATGTTTAGTTATCAGATATATTTAGTTATTAGAGCACCTTTAACTATCGTGAGTTTTTTTTTAATAGGCACATACTTCAGCCCCGCATTAGGGAAACCCTGTGTCGTGGGTGCCCTGAATACACACATAGTCAACCACAAATTATCCCCAAACTCTGATTGATACAAGTTTGACGCCAGCGCCCTGTCAAGCTACTATGTGTATCTGAAGGACTTCAAACCGTTGATCATATAGAATAACACTGATAATTTATCCCTATCGGCAATACCTGTCAATCAGTTACTTGGCATCTTGACCTATAGTCTTATGACCTATCAGCTAATTATCACTTATTAAATATTTACAGGCAATGTGGAGTTTCAGCCACAGCGAAAATCATACCATCACGATGAAGCGGTAGGGGTTAAAAACCCTGAAGTGGTTTCACTAATATCCTCGCTGTTACGAGTGAAGCAGGAGACACTGCTGGCTGCACTCACTTCTAAGAGAGCACGAGCTTCCGGCGAAACGCTTGTTATTAATTACAGGTAATCTTGTATACACTTTAACTACTACTTAACTTACTTTAACTTTCGCGTTTAATTATACTAACATTTAAAACAGAAATAAACGCCATAAAAAAAAATTAATAGGTATTTGCACACCTACCGACATTTATCGGGAAGATGGTTTTAATCTGCAGCATGGAATCCGGAATTTGCAATCCTTTGGCTACCAGAATAAGGCTTAGGTGCGGAATAGGGAGTTGTTCGTCCCGTCACTTGATATTACAGGAAAAAAATTGGATACTGTTAATGTTATATGTGGAGGTATTTTGAAAAATGTAGTGAGGGTGGATGAAGATTCCACTGCCAAGACGGAGATGTAATATCAGCTCGTGACAACTACCAGTGCAACCTGGTCATTACGTCTGGATAATAGGTATTAAACCTGTTAAATTATTTAATCGCGTTTATTCCCGTTTTCAAATATTAATAGTTTACACACATACGTGAGCAATGTGCAATCATAATTTGAGCATGGTCCAAGCACTTTATGTATGTGAGAGACACGTCATTTATATGCCACTGTTAGGCGCTGATATTATCTTAGAAGATATGAACTGTAGTTCACCAAACAGACCCAATGCGAGTTTCACATATTTTCAAAGCTTTTTTTATGAAAACTAAAACTTGTTCACATTACATTTTGGTTATTATATTAATTGTAGATATATCTAAGTGTTTTGAATAAATAAATGATAAATAAATATTTGTGTTTTCCATCCGTTACTCTCATCTCTGGACTGTATTCGCACTTTCCATCAGGCGCGGTGCAGTCATTTTGCCGAGTCACAATAAAAAAAAAAAAAAAAAAAAAAAAACATTAATTGAAATACATAATTAAATTATTTGTAACTCAGATTGCCGGAGGCCATAGCGACGCGCGACGCGATGGCTAAGTGCCTGTACGGCGCGCTGTTCGACTGGATCGTGATGCAGGTGAACCACGCACTGCTCTCCAAGAAGGATACTTTGAGAGAACATCAGGGGCATAGTATAGGTAAGCACAAGATGTTCCAGGGCACATGACACATTCCGTTATGTTGAAAATGCGGCTGAAATTTAAGTTCAACAGCAACTCTTGGAAAATTTCTAAATCTTTTAGTGCTCGTTACTCTAGAGCAGGGATGCACAGACTTATTAAGACTAGGGGCCACTCGGGCAAATCATGAATTGATGGCGGGCCGTCAGAAGTATAGGTAATTAAAGACAATAAAGAATTCATTATTCTGGAATAGAATTCAATATTTTTCGAATGTACGAGAGTATTATTTTGCTGTCGGCGCGCCACCAATATTTCACCGGCGCGGGCCGCGGTCTGTGCATCCCTGCTCTAGAGTAACGAGATTCGAGACCTTGTATTAACAAGGTAACAGTTCCCTCAACTGAATATACATTCTAGATATATTATTAGCAAAACCTTGGCCTTGATTTTATGAACCTTTTTTTTATCTCAGCGTTTAATCGAAGCGTTGTAAATAGATCTTCTCGATCTCAAGTAAAATTTTCTTTGAGAATATTAAGCTCTGTTCAATTTGTTGTAATGTATTGGTTATTTTCGATAAACAAATAATAATAATTTTTAAATAAAAGGTGCCTCAAGGGCTGCAATAAATCATTAAATAGATCTATTTATTTTGTGTCAAAATATCATTATTTGCAGTTGTGTTAATGAAACATAAAAAAGTGGAATTATAATCGGTTGTCTTAAAATAAGTTAGGTACCTATTAGTGTTCAGTTAAAAGCACATAAAATTTTACAGTTTTGAGTGTTCCTATCCCGAGCATCATAGGGCTGACTTTCAACGTCGCGCTTGACATACACTTGACTATGTTGTACCTTTTCGATTAGTATAAAAATGCTTTTAAGTTCAACATACACATGGAAAATCAGAGCAATTTAAACAAGCGATTATCAAGAAGTAAAAAAATTATATTTGATTGTTATTGACTGTTTGAACAAAATTATTTATTATATTAGTATAACATTAATCTGTCACATCCGGCACAGGTGTCCTCGACATATTCGGCTTCGAAGATTTCGGTCCGAACAACAGCTTCGAGCAGTTATGCATAAACTATGCGAATGAACACCTGCAATACTATTTCAACCAACACGTTTTCAAGTATGAGCAAGAAGAGTACAGACGCGAAGGCATTCGGTGGACAGATATTGGCTTCTCGGACAATACTGGGTGCTTGCAACTCATTGAGGGGAAGCCTGGTGGACTGTTATGTGTGTTGGATGATCAGTGCAAGTAAGTAACATATGAAATTACCATTACGGTCCGTTCCAGTAAAGCGATTAATGAGTTCATTGAATATTCCTTCCATCACTGGCACTTGTGTTGTCATTTTACTGTTATCGATTCTACTCAAATTTAAATAACAACGAATTACTTTATAAACTGCTTTTTTATTTATGCTAACATTACACAGCAATAACAAACACACTTTGTGGTTTAAGAGTTTGTTTTTTCAAAAAAATTATACATGTACTTAAATGAGAAACTTAAATATTATGTAGTGACGGGGCCAAAATGAGGTAGGGTGAACGCACTGACTGACCTTGAGTTGTTCCCTCGATAGATGTGTCGGTCGCTGGTGTTTATGCGTATGCCCAGGTGTTAAGGGGTTGTCGCGCCGCCCACTCTGGTCTCTCACAGACAGATGAGATGCTAAGATGATTTTCCGTTAAGCTGATTTTCCGTATTGCCGTTGGACAACTGCTACGGTGATATCGCGTCAAAAGCGACCGTTCGCTAGCGCAGCGTAGTTGCAACAGGGCAAAACGTCAAAACGGGGAATATCCTACCCTCAAATCAATGCGTTTTTTAGGATAGGAATAGAGAGGAGGCGAGTTCATTTGTGCATTTGCGAAGATGCCTACGTATCAAATCTGCCATGTAGTAACATTGTGTAAGCAATAAACATATTATGTTGCACGATATGCGCCATATCCATAAAAATGATACAAATGTGACGAGGTAGTGAAGAGGTAGGTAGTTTTGCCTTAACCAACATAACATACTGAGCAAGAGTGTTGTGCTTTAACCGTAGTCTACACAGATCGGCAATGACTAGATGTGTCAAGCTGTAGAAGTACATTACAGGGATAGGACGAAATAATATATGCATCGAAATTAACTACTTTCACTTACCTGCTCTGACACAGAAAATTCTAAACAGATCATCAATAATACGGTATTACAAGTAATCCTCCAACACTACTCGGAGATACAGTAAAAAGAAAATTATGTATTTTTGCATTGATTTGAAGATTTTCATATCTGGAGATGTCTTCTGTTGTCGAACAAAGCAAGGCTACGGTGCTACGTCAGGTGCATGTCAGAGAGTTCATCAGTAAGTTAGGTTAGGTTTTGTATAGTGATTAAATTCGATAAATTTCAGTTTCCCATGGGCAACAAACGAGACGCTACTACAGAAATTCAACTCCGTACACGAAGATAACCCGTTCTACGAAAAGCCGCAACGACGGGAACCAGCTTTCGTCGTTCGGCACTACGCTGGCAGAGTTAAATATCAGGTATAATTTTGATGATTTGTTTTACGGAAATGGTTCATCTTCGTACATATTGTAATTTGATAATTCTGTATAATGATAATTATTTTGTAAAGTGTCTTAATCAAGCGACATTTTCATCATATCAGTCGTCCACGAAGTATGTTGCTATCACTTTTATGATGATTATGCTAATACGCCCCCGGTCTCATATCGGTCCTCCCAGTTTTAATTAGTGGGATCTTCTTCTTTCACTTCATTAAGCCCTCCTCAATATTACTCTAAATATAGTTTAGTAGCAGTAGAGCTCCTTGTAATAATACGCCCCCGGTCTCATATCGGTCCTCCCAGTTTTAATTAGTGGGATCTTCTTTTTTCACTTCATTAAGCCCTCCTCAATATTACTCTAAATATAGTTTAGTAGCAGTAGAGCTCCTTGTGAAAGCGTTCGTTCAGTGAAGTATTGATGCTCCAATTTCTGCCGCCAAGCAGTAATGAGAGCATTACTGTGATTCACTTTTGAAGGGTAAAGGAAAAATATAGGCACATAGGACTAGCGAACTTCTATCTCAATGTGACGGGCGCGAAGTGCAGTGCCCCTCAGATCTTTGTGATTTAATACTCAGAGTATCGCTACAACTGTTATGTGACGGGCATGTTCCGTCACTTCGTATCATAAAAATAAGGTCGTGATACTTTATCTTTAGGCCATTACGACAACCCATACTGAATCTGAGTTAACATTTAACTGTCTCGGTGGCCGAACGATTACCATGCTGGACTGCCACGCAGAGATCTCAGGTGCGATTCCCGGGCCGGGAGAAATATTTGTATGGCCTACATTTATTTCTCTCGTGAATATGGGTGTAACTTGTGGTTGTCTATGTGTTTGTCCATGGCACCCGTGATACAGGGTTTCCCTAGTGCTGGGCTTTGTTTAGTGTATGCGTAATATGTAAACTCACCAACCCCTAGCGGACATGTGTCTTCAGATCTTCGACGTCTGACCGATCGGACTAGTATACTTCTCTTGGACAACGTAACAGACCATGTTTCTTAATGCTAAATATTACTAAACTAGAACTAAATCGTGATTGATTTCGCGTCACATATCATTTGATAAATTAGCTTATTTTATATAAATAAACCTTTTTTATTACTATGATTCTTTATTTTTACATTGTTTTAAGTTTGCAACAAATAAAAGCATACCTGTGTCAAGTCCAAAAAAAGAATAATAACCATATAATAACTTAATTTGTTAGAAGCATACAATAAAATTTATATCGTTTTGTTGCAGGTGACAATGATGCGTGAGAAGAACCTAGACTTGATGCGGCAGGACATCGTCAGCGTGTTGAAGAATTCGTCACTGGCGTTCGTCAGGGAGCTTGTGGGTGTCGACCCCGTTGCTGTATTCCGGTGGGCCATTGTGCGGGCCTTTTTCAGGTACTTGTCAATGCAGCATACTACGTGTTTTGTCATAAAACGCATCACTAAAGTAAACTTATTGTACAGTATTGCAAAATTGGACCCTGCGTGTCCCGTAACTTTTAATTTTCAACGGAAAAATACACAATTTGTTTTATGGCGGCTCTACACTCTTGCCAAACCATGGCAAGGGCGCGCAGGCACAAATGTGTGTTTGGGTTGGCTTGCGCGAGCTTTCATGTGTTTGTAGCGGATCCGGTCAATTGTCGGTTTTTGTGCAGAAATCAAAGGAAGCTTTCGGCAAGCCCTTGCATGTATCCACAGATTTGTGGTAGTATAGTATTGTTTGAGAACTGTCGACATTATAGATGTTTCTTTTCTGCTACGTTGGGTTGATGGTTACGCCGTATAATATTAAAAAAAAATGACACTGTACAGTCTTTATAGACATGGCTAATATGGTTGTAAACCTTTGCCTTTTCCTTAGCGGAAAGAATTTAAAAACAATTATTATAATATAAGAGTGATAGCTTTCCATGGCTATAAATTTGGAAAATGGGTGACTACTCAAACGTGCCTATTTTATTCTTTCTGGAGTGCTACCAAACAGAACCCTGCATTTGGAATCCACAGCATAAGGACCATAAAGACCGAACGCAATAAACTAATTCGACGTCCGCCATGCTTACTTCTCTTAAGCACCCTGCGCACTCGCAAACGTGTGGATGGAAACGTTTGTCTCACCTAAATTTCCAAGCATTTGCAAACCTATGGGGCTTGTGGCAAATGGCAAGCGCGTGAAGATGGTGAAGTAATTCTTAAGTGGTATTACAAAATAGCTGAATTTAACTTGCTATTGGCTGAATGATATCGTTTTGTTACATCAGAGGTTCCCAAACTTTTTTGTCTGGTAGACTATGTGCCAATTTTTTCAGTTTGCGTAGACCCCCTACCTTTCCAATATAATGTCCTTGTCTTTCTAATGTAGTCCCCCTGCCTTTCTAATGTTGTTTTTTTTTTACAAATTCATCATCTTCAAGTGTGTGTTTGACAACTGACGAGCACTGACTCGTGAGAAAATTTATTAAAAAAAGTTGATGTTAAATTTGATACAGATATAAATGCTTTTTTATATTTTCTCATTGTTAATGTATTTTTTGTCTGTATTGTTCCTTTCTGTTTATCTATTTTAGCTAGTTTTCCTTAAATTATAATTTTATATTGTTTCACTTTGAGCCCGATTTTCCCACTACTCCTCAACAATCATGTTACATGATAGACACAAAACCGCTAAGCTTGAATTTGCAGAGGTTATTTCGCGTTCATGGAAGCAGGACGCCGGCACCGCGTGAATCGCGTCGACGGAGCCTCAAGGATCCCTCGTGCTTCCATACACTGTCCCAATGACAGTATTATCAGGTCAGTTGTATTCTATTGATCTAGTATCACCCTATTATGCTATGTCGTTGTACCAGACCCAAAAAACAAATTATTAATATATATATTATAATATTATATAATTTGTTTTGGAAAACCTAGAACACAGCTCGATAAGAAATTATATATCGACCAGAATTACATGACAAACCATCAATTTGACCCTTTAGCTCACTATGCATAATATATTTACTACGTTAATATTGGCTGCATTACAAGTAAACAACTATTTATCCATCATAACAAGTCTGCAATACCGTTAACATGCATATCATATTTTATTGTGTATGAAATGTATACCTAATGTTATTCTTAAGTTGTTGTGTTGAAATACGTAATTTGACTAAAACAATACCGTTATCAATAAATGTTATTTGACGTTGAATTTATTGTATACGTTTTTCAGTATAATCAATAAAATTATCAAAATATCTAGATATTGATCTAGTAATTTTGCAAAAGTTAAATAAAAAGTTCATAATGTGATTTCTGTGTACAAAAGTTATGAACCCACTTTTACACCTATCAATATTTAAGTCTGTCAAAAACTGCTTTCAAAATGGAAATGACGCTATTAATTTTTTATTTAACTCTAGACTGACTTGTCTGAACGCTTATGCGATCCGTAATGTGACGTAATGAATTGTCCTTGCTCAGCCAACTGGTGACTGTGTCGTCAATCAATCTCGCAATCAACCGAATTGCGTAAGTTGCCGCGCCGTATAACGCATGCTTCGTTCTATGTGCACCTAACGCATGGACCACCATGTTTATTTATCACCATTTGTTTACATCTCTGTCTCTTTTATTTGTTATAAAGGCTGTGTTTCGATTATAAACTCTTTAGTGTATAACATAGAGGTATTTTGGGGTGATATAGCAGAAAATGCAAAGCAGCTATGAAAGACTTTTTTGTCCCTCACGGTATAACTTCCCATACTAACCAGGATGATCACGTACGCTGTTAATATGGGTATTGATAGTTCAAGCTGTCAAATTGAATGGACATAAAAGTTCGTTGTTGTTGTAAGTTTAATAGAGGGATAATAGCACAAAACAAAAGCTAAACACAGTCTAACTAAACCGCCCACCATTCTCCGCTCTGAACATCTTGCTATTAGACAATCAGCGTTTTATTTATAGCTATTAGTTTTCTACTACACGCGGGCACACGAACATGCATGCGTCACTGTAAATTATTTTGATTTTATTGAGTTTCTTTAATTAATTTTTGTTATCCTCATTTCCTTTCTCACCCGTTACGGGAAAAGATCTCCGCATAGAGCCCCGTGCAAGGCTGTGACTCCGCGGGGCGATAGTAAGCAACGGCCAGAAACTGGGGGGCCTCGCGTGGGTGGGAAAGGGGGGAAGCATTACAGGATTGCGGAGACGCGCGTGCGGCGAGTCGATCGCGAGCGCGACGAGCGCAACTTCGATGATACGGACGTGATGCAGCGCGCCAGCCAGATCGTCATGTACGTCGCCACTCGCACGGCCCACACGGGCTCGCCCGGCCTCGCTGTCTGTTTCTGTCTTTCTCGCACTTTCTTGTTTCATCAAACAATCTCTATTTGTTAACTAACGTGGGAGGCTCGATCGGTAAATTGACTAACTGTAAGCTTTTTTAATTTTTAGTATGTTGTTTTTATTTACAATTTTAATTGCCGTTTATCAAAGATTTTGTTTGATGATATTTCGTGTTTCGGTTGGGGGACTCTTGACTCTCTGGTGTTGGCTATTGGGTTTAATTTTCCGTGCATTTTGTTGTGTTAATTATGTTGTCTTTCACGTCAACAATAATTTTATTTTATCAAATTGTTTATGTGTTATGTAAATATTGTTTATATATTGGTGTAAGCATTGATTATAGATATGTAGAAAATATAATTATTATAGGTGTAAAGAGAATTAGTTAAGCTGAAGCCTTGTTTTTTATTTATGTAAATGAACTATATACTTTCCATGGCATTGTAAATTTAATTTGAACACTTTATTCAGTGTCGGCTTATGTAAATCGGATATATTCAGTTCGCATGTAAGACACTCTTTGATTCTAATTTTTTCGGTGGTTGGCGTTTAACCCTTCACTGCATCACTTTAAAACATACAATCGGCTTTAACAGGAAGAACAAGTCATTCAGACCTCGAGAACGGGCGAAGAAAGGGTTAAAGAATCTTCAGACGGTCAAAACGTTGGCTGGTAGGACTGCTGCGCCGACTGGCAAACGGAAACAACCCTTGACTGTCGCTGCGCAATTTCAGCATTCCTTGGCTGCGCTTATGGAGACTTTAAATCAAGCAAATCCATTCTTTATCAGGTACCATGTTTTGTGCAAATGCTTGTATTAAAAAATAAACTTTTATGGCCACATTTTCGGCTGTAACCATGTTATGTTCCCTTACTATTGGTAAACTATGCAGTACCTACAGTTGAAAATATACTTTAGATCCTATATTTTAGTAATGTACATTCTCTTTGTTTTTAGAGACACAGCTGTTATACCATAATAAAATGAGAGAAAATAAAAGTAACTGAGCGACTTGTATTTGTGCGCCGTGTACGGATGCATGCGCATAAAAAATGAAAGGCGTGTTAGGAGGACCAGTGTTACGTAACGCAAGTGCATCGCGAGATTATGCGAATGTGTGCGTCCGTACACGGCGCGCCTACATACAAGCCGCGTTGCTACGTTTGTACGGAGTTACTATACTGGTTTTATTATGTGATTATATTGTCTTAAAAATTATGGCTACCCTCACCCACATTTGCCGTTGGTTGAAATTTTAAAACAGGTTTCTCATTTGCATTTCTTTTGTTTCTTAGCAATATTTTTTTATCCGTCGTAATATTTCCCTATCCTATCAGATGCATAAAGTCGAACAGCGAAAAAGTACCCAACGTGTTTGACGAAGAAACCGTGCAACGTCAACTCCGATACACGGGCATGCTCGAGACCGTCCGTATACGACAGGCAGGATACAACGTTCGACTGACATACGATGAGTTCATACAGTTGTATAGAATACTTTTGCCGAAAGGACTGTTGAGTTCGCAAACTGACGTACGGCATTTCCTCGCGACTTTGAATTTGGATCGAGATAACTATCAATTAGGTAAGTTTCATGCTATTATTTCAAATTTGTTGACCTGTTTAGATCACACAGGACCAGAGGTTCCCAATTTTTTTTGTCTCGTAGATCACATATCATTTTTTCAGTTTTGCGTAGACCCTCTGCCTTTCTAATATGGATTATTTTACAAATTCGTCAATTTCAAATGTGTTTTTAACAGCTGACATAGTGCCAGCTGTATAAGTTCTGATAACTCACTCTCTTTCATTTTCAATTTCGGTCACTTTGACGAGTTTAACGACCTAGTGAGAAACATTAAAAAAAAACACTTTCGGTTAAAGAAATGTATAAAACTTTTTATACATTTTTATATCTGAATCTGAATATCTTGTTTGTTGTGAAATGTTTACTTCGTAGGTAATTTATATATCTTTGTAAGAAAGTATTATGAATATGCATAGGTAATATCTATGTAATGTGGATTATCCCAATTATGGAAAGTTGAAATTTTGGTCACAACCTGCCTATATGGATTCTATTCTCGTGGACCCCCAATCGTTACGCTGGACGGATAACGCCTGTAGTTTAAGTCTGGCTCACTGGTGCTTAACAAAGAACCTCAAATGTTAGAGGAACTGTTTTTTGATAGGACACATGTCCACAACACAGCACATACGATAGTATCGCTTCAAAATCAACCCTATTGAAATGACGGCGACAAACCTGTACGAAATGCGTACCGCACTAAAATCGACTTAACAAACCACATGACAGAATTAGCGACAATACACACAGTCGGACTGTTTAGATCTTCTCTCAAAATGGAATATTCTGCAATTGAACTTGATATTGTTAACGTATAAAAAGCTCTGTAAACCTCTCTGCGCCGTCGCGTCGATGTTTTCTTTACGTATTCTCTTTTTCCCAACGTTGTATACATATATTGAGGACACCAAATTACCACATTCAACTCATTGAGTTTAAACAACTTTTGTATCTCTCGTATAGGTGCTACAAAAATCTTCATGCGCGAAAGCGAGCAAACGAAACTGGAGTATAGATTACACCAGCAGATTATGGCCTCCATCATCACAATCCAGCGCTGGTTCAGAGCCGTGCTCGAGCGACGCCGCTTTCTTGCACTTAGACGCGCCTCGGTCATCATACAGGGCTATTGCAGGTAACCTTTTACCATAGAATAAAGTTTAGATAATACGCCACATTCGACGACCACGACTTTAAGTTTAAGGTGCTGGTGAAATTACAGGCATATGAGACTTGTCAACTTATGTCTCAGGGTGACAGGCGCACTGCTAGTGCCCATTTAACCTTTGCGATTTAAAGTTCTTGGTGCACTGGAACTGTTATAGGCAGGCGTGTAGCTTCCATCAGGCACACGACTTGTTCGTCTCGTCACTTGATGTTATAAAAAAAAGTTTTCGTACACTTCTATTTCGGATACCTTTACTTTGACTTTTTTTAAAGGACATCTATAGTCTAATGGCTCATGTTCCCACATTACATGGAATAATAAGGGTATAACGACAATTGGTATATATAGTGTACAGAATTCACTGAAGTGTGATGAAAACTGAGGATTGTTCTTTAGATTGTTGATTGCAGATATGCCTGACACATCTAAATTGTCTACTACCTACATTACAGTATTATTGTTAAAGTTGCAATACTTTACTTTTACTTAACAGATTTTTTTTAGTTCCACAAAATACTATGCTCCAAGAAGACCCTCGTGACATCAGCTACCGCGTCACGATCACGAGGAAACTTACCGTAGGACAGAGACACTATTCTGCCCTTACACAATACATTGTAGCTTTCGCCTCGATTTCATTTTATTGGCGTACAGCACTCACAATCATGATACACTCATAGTCATGCGATGTACTACACCAATGTGATTTTTTTCTTCTCTTCCAGAAACTGGCTTGCTGCGCGACAAGAAGCAGCTACAAAACTGCAAGCTTGGTTCCGTGGCAGTCGCACGCGGCGATGGTACATTCGACTACGCGACGCAGTTACTACATTCCAAGCCGCTGCAAAAGGTTATCTGCTTAGGAAAACTCTACCTGAGTTGAGAAGGCGACTGCCGCTTTCGAAGACGCGAACTGAGGTGGGCATTTTCTTCTCACGGGATTAAGTTTGATTGTTTGTTTGTTTCTGTACTTGATGTTTGTTTTGAAGCCATTTGAACAAGGAAATAAATAATAGTAAATAAATAACGCACACACTCATAGCTCCACACTAGAGAAACCCTGTATCGTGGGTGCCATGGACACATAGACAACCACAAATTACATCCAACTCACGAGAGAAATAAATGTAAACCTTACAAATATTTCTATCGGCGTGGGAAACGAACCCGGGACCTCTGCGTGGCAGACAAGCATGGTAACTGTTCGGCCATATGTACATATAATTGTTGTTGAAGGTCTTTGGAATTAAAATTATGTGGTTCAAAATGATGTGGTTACGTAACTAACAATTGATAACTAAACTCAAACTGTGATAAGATTCACAATGTATGTAGCATGTGTGTGGTTAACAATGTATTCCATTGACAGCATGACGGCAAGACGGGCGACTGCGACGCTTTCAAGGCGCATGCGACGAGTTCGATGCTAGGTAGCATCGAACAGTTGCAGAACATATTTGATATACAACTGTAAGTAATCATTAGTGCATATTTGTCATTTAATTGATGCTGATATATTTCCGGGCAGGTGTCCTCTATTTCTCCGTTTCCTTCACTTATTTCTGTTACGGACTTTTTTTTTTTTTTTTTTTTTTATACCTGACAGGCAAATGACTCCACTCCACTTTCTACAAAGCCTACACTTTTCTTTGTCAAAAGTATCTCGATAACACAGAATACCTAATGGTTTTAAATATTTTGCATAGAAAGTCCACTCGACTCTTGCAAGCATTGCATCCATTACATTTGACCTAAGTCGAGTACATTTTTTTTATGATATAAAGTGACAGGCCAAACAAATCGTGAGGCTGGTGATAAACGACACGCCTTAAATCACAAAGATATGAGAGGCATTGCCACTGCACCCGTCGCCCTGAGACAATAAGTTGAACAGTCCCATGTGCCTGTATTTTCACCTCCGCCCTTGCCCTTCAAAACCGAAATGCAGTAATGCTCACGTTACTGCTTCATCATCATCATCAGCTTACACACATCCACTGCTGGTCATAAGCCACCCCTTGAGCACGCCAACTCTCCCGGATTTGTGCCACGCGCATCTAGCCGCTGCCGGCCACCACATTACTGCTTGGCGGCAGAAATTGGCAAGGTAGCAGTACTTCCCTGGACGAACCCTTTCAAAAGGAGCACTACTGCTACTACACATTTACCGCAAGCTCCTGAATTATCTGTATAGATCAGACGCTTGCGGTAAATGTAAGCAATGGCGACGAACAGAAAAAGATAGGTTTACAATACAGGGACTATATCAATATAGTTTTACTCACCCGGTGTTTCTGTCATTCTATTTATGAGACTAGCGTTTTATAAGTTTTGGTTTCAGACGAATGTCACTAAAGTATATCATATACTGTAGTTGTGGCTCTAGTGAAAAGGGGTACAAGTGGAAAAAGCCAACTTTACAAGGCGACGCGAAATCAGTTAAAGCTGTTTTTGTATATATATAATGTCAAATGACGGCGTGCGCCTGATGGTAAGCTACACGCCTGTCCGAAACAGTTGCAGTGCCACTCAGAGCTTGAAATCGTAAAAATCGGAGGGGCACTGCCACTGCGCCCGTCACCCTGAGATATAAGTTGACAAGTCCCATGTGCCTGTAATTTCACCAGCACCTTTACCCTTCAAAACTGGAACACAGTAATGCTGACATTACTGCTTGGCGGCAGAAATAGGTAAAGTAGCAGAATTACCCTGGACGAACTCTTTCACAAGGAGCTCTACTACTACTAAATATGATATTAAGCGTTAACGCTTGTTGTGTTTTTTAATACAGTTGCTCAAAACATGGTATTTTTCGTACTACAAATCATGCCGAAAGTTGGATTTTTCGCACTAGTGCTTTTTACTTTTCCATTTTTTTTTACTGTTGTTTCAAATCTTAAACATAGAACTAAAGAAGTTGTATATTTATTTAATATTTATGTGCTTTGTGACGTAAGTCATTCGTCATTAAAACTTCTATTTACTTCCAAACATCTTATTTGGTTAAATTGCATACATGTTTATAAAAGAACAGGTTACATTTAAAAAATACCAAAATATTTTCCATAAAGATGGCTGATTGAGTATTAACAATGACCGGAGGTGAGTATTACGCGAGACCGCTGCGCGCCGCGCCACTAAAATAGTAATTATAATGTTATACATTAAATACAGTTGCCATTACTCTAAATTTTTATCAGACAGAAATAAATTGAGTTTTTTTTTAATACTGTTTTATTTTACTTTCAATGTAGTTTTTTCGCAAATGTATTACAAAACGTCGTTTGATACACGTGAAGATTTGTCATTTTCACTTATCTCGAGTCATGACCCCTCGCCTCTGGCTCGAGCCAAGAAGACTCGTGAATAATGACTAACTTTCCGCACTTGTATCAAAAATAACTATTTCGTGTTTACTTGTAAAGTTGAGTTTTTTAATTATAGCTCTTTTCACTAGAGCCACAGATATACTTGTCAGTTTTCGCACCTGACCATAATATGTTTATGGCTATTTCAGGAATATGTTAATCCAAGACGAGGCGGAAAAAACGCGACAGTTACGAGCAACGCAGTCCCTACCCATCGCCAGGTAATTTGTCACATACAATTTAATTTATCAATTGAATGTACCTTCATCAATATTATAATATCTAAATCATAAACTAACATAACTAACTCATTTCCTTATCTATATGCCAAGTTAAAATGGCGGTCTTATTCCAATAAATCACGCAGAGTTATTAGTTTTTTTATTGGTAACGCCATTCCATAAAACAAGAGCCTTTCCAGTATCAGGCATCTAAATGCTGGAATAATCTTCCTCCTCCACTTGACAGCCCATCTCAAAATTCGCATTTAGAAAAGTATGAAAAATCTATTGATAGAAAACTAGCGTATGCTCTGATGCCGGATATACCTAACTCTTGTCTTCTAACTTATTTATATTTATGTATATTTACTTATAGCTCTGTATGTATACATGTATCACACATGTATTGTAAATGTGTAGTGTGGCACAAAGCAGAGGATGCACAGAGCATTTACCATTTCCTTAGGTCTCAGCCGACGCTGAAACAGGAACGACTGAAAATCAGCGTCTGTCTCGCCCGAGATAGACATATTGCTAAGTCGTATCCTTTTCTTCTTTTGCGCCACTATACACACTTACTAATTTAAAATCACGCAGCAATTTGTTGTTTTAGTGTTACGTATTAGATTTAAGTGCGTATAGTGACTCAATTTGATGAATAAACGTTTTTCTTTCTTTCTTTAACCACGTACTGTATTTTTTACTATTTATAAATGTATGCCCAAAACATCTTTATGTTATTAATGTACATGTCACTTTGCAGAACGTAATACGTTTTAGTAATAAGTAATGAACATCACAAATTTAACGTGGTTGTAAAACGGATCTTCTTTTGCAGTTTGGAAAAGAAACGCGAGAACATAATATTGGAAAGCTCCACTCAGTCTTACGGCAAGAGGAGAGTAACGAAGACACAGAACATTACCGAATTGCCTTTAAAACAATCTACTGCCAAGTAAGCACCGCACAGTAGCATTTTCCAAAGTCCCATGTTTCGGATTTATTTAGTCAGCAGCAGAGAAACTTTAGCACTATTAATCCCCACGATGCCATGCGCAAGCAAAAATTGCGGCTTAGAGATTAACAATTTAGGTCTAGACGTAGAGGACTCGGGCTTGATGAGGGCCAGTGTTACAAGCGGACTTTTCGAAATTGCCCTTGATGGTGTGTGTACCAAATGAAGTTTTGGTAACAGTAGAGCTCCTTGTGAAAGAGTTCGTCCAGGGTAGTACTGCCACCTTACCCATTTCTGCCGCTAAGCAGTGATTATTACTGCAGCAGCAAGGTAAGGGTGCTGATGAAATTACAAGCACATGGGACTTGTCAACTTATTTAAAATATCGTTAAATATATCGTTTTCAATAATAGGAACAATTTTTATTTCAGTCTAATCCACCAAGAAGTGAACGAAACGTCACCCGACGACACCTGGAGCAACTCAGTCAAGTACTCACAGTCGGGAGTGGCGGTGCCAAACAAGATCACCACAGACGACCTGGCCAATGAACTTCTATGGTTACGTTTGGACCAGAATTACCTCATGGCCGAGAAGAACAAGGTAACATACCTTTCTGTTCACTCACTCGTACATAAGTAGGCAAGAACTATCTGTGGAACAAAATGATCGATTTTAATTTTTAATATATTGATTATTATAAAGCAATATAACGTCATCTATGTGGAGGTCAAGTTCCGCTGAAGACATGCTGAAGTGAGCTAATAAAAGAAATTAAGTTAAAGAATGAAATTGTTTCCTCATTGTACAGTATCATGATCATGAACACTATAGAAAATTGAAATAATTTTATTATTGAATATCATGATATTTTGTACTCCGTTGGTAAGATCTGTGACCACGGTGTAGCTATAGACGTTGGTTCGAATCCAGTCAGATCAAAGGAATTTTTCCTTGTGTTGCTCAATCTTTGTATAAATAACTATAGAAATATACTTAATGTTCTAAAGATTCGTGAGGAAAAGGAACGAGAGTTAGCAGAATCAATAGCGAGTAGTAGCGAGGAGTATCTGCGCCAGGTTGGCGACTGGAATCCTTCAGACAGCGTCGACAATCGGAATAATTCCAGGTATAATAACAACGAATTGCTAAACATAAAAATATAACAGCGGGTTAAAACTAAATTAGAACTGGCAACACTGGGTTGTTATGTCATTACTAACAAGTTTTGCCAGCTTTGGTGTTCTGCCAACCTAGATACAAAAACGTTTAGAACAAGTATGAATTTAGTAAATTCCAACAATTTCGATTATCGATTGGTATAGGTATAATTATCACTCATTTATGAGTTGTCGTGGTATTTATTATATTACATATGGAAAGTAGGTACAGTTATCGTTAAGATGATATAAACTGAAAGCTCCTCAACTGATTAAAAGTGAAATTCGTCTTCTAGTGATTGACAGTGAATACTTGATGAGTTTGCGTATTTTTCGGCCGGTGTCAGTGGTGACGAATTCCGCAGTAGCAGACGCGGCTCCCCAGCGGTGTACCAGCGCAGCCTGTCCAGCACGACGCTGGAGCCCACGCGGCCGGCCGGCCTGCACAGCCTGCCGCCCGTGCGCCGCGACCCGCGCCACCACGCGCCCACACACCCCTCACCCGCCGCTCTGGCCGTCGAACCTGCGCCAGGTCAGTGTACCCCTCTGTAATACAGGGTTTCCCACGGATACGCGACACGGAGGGAAAGTACTTTAAATATTGTAGATAGTCTTTATTTTTAAAAGAAAGTAATATTGCATTCGAAGACAAAAGTTGCTTGACTCTTTTGGGAATCGAACCGACCAAATATGTATAAACTAGCGATTTTGCAATAAGGCCGATCTTTGCGATTATAAACTCTGAGCGGCACTGCAACTGTTATGGACAGGCGTGTTGTTTACCACCAGGCGCACGACTTGTTCGGCCTGTTACTTAGTATCATAAATATTCTCATTAGAGAGTACTAAAAACCGACCTCATAAGTCATTCATTCCCTAGTTTGCCACCCTAATGCTCAGGCCACACATCAGGATTTTTGTAAATCGCACGGCGGCTGCGCGTTTCAGGCGAACTCCTATATTATAGAAATTCGCAATTATAAGAACGCTTCCGCGGAAGCCTCTGTATGGCCAGAGCATAAGAGTGGGAATATTTTCTTAAAATTTAAATGGGAATACTCTTTCCAACAAAAAAAATCATAAAAATCGCTTTACAAATGAGTTATCGCGTAACGTACGTACAAAAAAACATACAGTCGAATTGAGAAACTCATCCTTTTTTATTGAAATCGGTTAAAAAAGGATGTGCATTACGCAACAAAACAATATAACAATAGTTTCAATTCTATTCAGAATAAAATATTGAGACTGACTTAGTTAACATTCTACGATTCACTCCACCGATTTAAATGCGAAAACAATTCCTCTTTCCATTAATCGCTCAACAAATAAAGGCCCTAATTAGTGCCACAAATCTCTTCTAAAAAGAGCTATTATCCGTCTAATGAACACCGATTTTGTCACGAAAATGCACATAACAACTAGAGTAATTAACTAATTATATTTTTCAAGTCATATTTATTTCTATTTCTCATTTGCTACATTCGTGATGATTTTAGTACAGTGAATATGTTCATACGAATTGTGTGTGTTATAAAAAGTTCGCGAGAAGTGTTCACGTATTTTGTTGTATTTGCACTTATTTTGTTTCTAATGGGATACTTTAACGTGTGTATCAAATTAATGTTCTATTACTATGGTAAGAATTGTTCTGAACTGGTTTTGGCCTAGGTGTTCTGGGTAATGCCGCGGAGTGTATTCCGTAACTCTTGGTCGCGGGTTCGTTTCCCGGTAGAACCAATTTGGGAAATGAACTTTTCTAAAATGGCTTTAGCCTAGGGGGTCTGGATAGCGCCGCGGAGTGTATTCCGTAACTCTTGGTCCCGGGTTCGATTCCCGGTAGAACCAATTTGGGAAATGAACTTTTCTAAAATGGTTTTGGCCTAGATTTTCTGGGTAGTGCCGCCGAGTGTATTCCGTAATTCTTGGTCGCGGGTTGGATTCCCGGCAGAATCAATTTGGGAAATGAACTTTTCTAAAATAGTTTTGGCCCAGGTGTTTTTGGTAGTGCCGCGGAGTGAATCCGTACATCTTGATCCCCGTCGATCAATTCCCGGTAGAACCAGTTTCGAAAACGAATTTTCCTAAAATGGTTTTTTGCTACTAGGTGTTCTGGGTAATACCGCGTAGTGTATTCCGTAGCTCTTGGTCCCGGGTTCATTTCTCGGTGGAATCAATTTGGGAAATGTACTTTTGTCTGTTCTGTTGAGTACTCCTTATGAGTGCCAGAGAAACTGAATCCAAGCATAGGCTTTACCAGAAACCCAGACCAGACCCAAGTTCAGGAAGTTCATTTAAAAAATTTGTTGTACCGGAAATCAAACCCGAGAGCAAGGGCAACGGAATTCACTCCGTTGCACTACCCAGAACGCCTAGGCCTTCTCTTCCAGAACACCTAAACCTTCTCATCCAGTGCCATATTATTTGCATGTATATTGTACAAGTTCCATACTTCACCTTAGATTTTTTTTTTCGGCATATCTATATTGTCTAGTCTTTGTTAGTTATTAAAAAAGATGCAATGTAAATATAACGAAATAACTAATTTATAAAATCTAAAATATAAAAACAAAGCCAAATATACAAATTAAATTTAACACAAAGACAGGTGAAATTAATTAAAAACAGCAACTTTTTGTGGCATAAACCCACTCAAAAACAGACGCGCAGTCTACCCGTCGCAAAGCCTGAAAGGCGACTGAGCGTAGTACTGCGCAGAACTGGCGAGTGGGAAGGAATTATTATTTTTCAAATAATAACACTTATCTTATGAACTATATAAGTTTAAAAAAGTGAACAATACATTCTGTTTGAAATTAAATTACCTAGTTTTTTGTCTAAATTTTATAAACAACGGATGTTTGCATGTGAAGAGAAATTGCTTTTTATTCAATTTGAAGGATGTAACTGTAAATTTTATTTCGTGAAACGAGCTTAATAAATTGTAATTTTGCTCAATACATTCAATTATTTAAGGACTACTAGCAATCATATATTTTTTTGTGATTATTGGATTATTATTATTATCAGGAATTTAATTTAAAAAGAGTCTAATTCGTCAATCTGACATTTGTTCCAGCCTTAAGTGAAATATAAGACTATTTTGCAATGACATTGAGATAGCTGGAATCTTATAACCATCATCATCGCATCATATACACATTTTGTTATTCAGTGCAATAAAATCCCTTCATTATATTAACGATCGGGTTGGCTAGAAGTAATCTGTTTTAGAGATAAGCCCTGAGTTGTACATGGACCATGACTGTGTTTTGTGTTATGTAACATTGTAAAAAATTCTATATTACATCTAGGGCGGGAAAAAAAAGTCAGAATCGTTGAGCTTCCTTGCCATGTAAGAAAACAATAAAGTAACCGACGCAAAAGAAAAACCGAGAAGATAGTAATAGAAGCATTTATTTATATGCTCCTACTTTTATTTAACTCGAGCAAACTGACAGAAAGTTGTGTTGGTATTTTCATACATTGACAGTCATTAACTGCTTAGTAATTGATACAGTCAAGAGCACGTCAAGCTTGACACTTTGTACTTTGACCGTTCTTACCGTAAGCGGCATAGAGTTGAATTTAAAACTTAACTGTCAAGCTTGACGTACTCTTGACCCTGTACCATTGATTCATTGCCTTGAGTCACCATCAAGACAAACCACTAATTACAATTCTGTTTCGTCCACCATAGCTTGCCTAGCAGCACAGCGCACAGTAGAAGCGCCCCCCTCGGCTCCCCCGGCACCGCCCGCGCGCTCGCTGCGACGCTCCCCCCGACGGCTGCAGCGGCCAGAGCGGGCCGATGCACCTGCGCACATCGTCGACCAGCATGACATTAAACGGTGGGTATAGTAGTGTGGTGTAGTGCCTACATATTTGCTCGATTTTTTTTTTTCTATTGTTCTGATTAACACGTGTGATCAAACAAAACGACTAAATGTGTAAGCGACAATGATCGACATCGTATTTTTTGTCGATCGGTACGTGTGATCATATAAAATTGAGTGATTAGACAAAATCGAGTAAATGTATAAGCAACAAAAGATCTAAATCGTATTTTTTGTCGATTATTTGCCTACAAATTAGTTCGATTTGATATTTATCGATCAGTAACAGCCGACACTAACGACCTTCAAGAGTCGAGCAAATCTGTAGACACCATAAGCCAACAATGTCACGGCGTTTATTAAAAATGTGGACTTATTTAAAATAAAAAATATAATTAAAAAGTACCTAACGTTATCGATAATGTTGACACAGAGTGACCTCAGAGTTAATGGCGCCACTGGAAGTTGTGGCCCCGCTGGCGCGGCCCGCGGTGGCGGGTGTGAGCGCTGAGGCGCTGCGGCGCCGCAACTCCGACCCCGCCCCCGCGCCCTGCATGCCCGCGCCGCGCGCGCCCGACCCGCGCTCCACAGATTACATCGGACAGACCACCAACGGGCTCTTTCGGATCGCTGGGCACAGGTGCCGTACACTTGCAATCCGAGTTGGGAACTAACTTTGCTTCTTCGCACAGTACAATACAAAAACATTCGTTTAACTGTCCAAAACGTAATATTGTGATACATAGGTAACCACACTAGGCTAGGCGTCGCTACAAAACACGCCGCTCGTCAGTGCCTAGAGCAAACATCAATTCTTACCATTTTCTGTGGTTATAATATTCAGTGCTTTAAAAGAAAAATTAAGCTATCACAAAAATAACTTGATTGTCGGTATTTTTTTTAACCTAATTCAAACTCGCTTCGCAGGTTTCGCAAAGGCACTCGTTTCGCAAAGGGCGACAAATGCATTTATTGCCACCAAGCGATCGACGCGTTTGTCACACAGGGCCAGCGTTGCATCGACTGCAAACAACTCTACCACACGAAATGCATACAAAATAAAGGCGTAATTACAATGCCTTGTTCGAGTCCCTTCGAGCCAGTCACGTTAAGAGGCAGGCACAAAAAACGAATCATATTAAAAGATTCTACGCTAAACCTCATCCCGGACCATTCCAAGAGTTCAGTGACGTCGAACTTCAGTCTCACAGGGACGTCCGAGTTTATGGACAGGACGGACAAGATAATATCAGACGCTACCGAGTTGCAGGCCATGCAGAATTTTATAACAAACAAAATTTATCAAATTGAATCGACTGAGAACGAAAAGAAACAATCCGAGGTAACTTGTCAAATTATTTAAAGCCCACTTTTATAAATCCGCCTCAAATACAGGATGGATAATAAGATTCATCCTGTAAAGTTGTCAAAATTGAGATAGTACCGATTGCCAGTAAACAGTCGATAAGACATTTGTCTTCGATCATAAGTTTCGCTTAAGTGTACATCGACGATTACTCATAGATAACGCATCATTTGAGAATTATCAACATTTCCGCTTATTAATAAACGTCACTCAGCACTTAAGTTACGGCTCAAAATCGTGATAAGTCCTTATCAATATAATAATAATAACGCACACACTCAACATAGCCCCGCACTAGGGAAACCCTGTGTCGCG